GCCTCCGCGTTCGGCAGCGTTCGACATCTGTCTCTCTCCTACTTGAGTGAGCGATGCGTCCGCGTGGACAGCTGCTATACAATAATACATTTCCATTTACCTCCTTCTCTATATCCATACAAAATATCTATCAAACAAATAAAATTAAAATTTTCTTTTGAAAAATGAAACCATTCCATCAGTATTTTCTTATGACGTTGTCACGTTCAACTATCGTCAGTAAACCGACTTTACAGACAACCGATTTTTTGTGGCATTATGTTGGAACTCTTGTCTCTTGCTTAATTTTTGACAGCTGCTTTGCTTGCACGTGTTTTGGTTCGTCTTCGTTTTCCTTCCTCCAAAAAATATATAAAATTTTGTGTGAAACACAAAATCAAGTGCGCGGACGCATTCCGTATGTTGACTGTAGCATATGGTGAAGCTACCTTGGACCGAAGCACGTTTATCGGTGGTACAAAATGTTCGCAGAAGGACGAGAAGACGCCGAACCCCCGAGCACGTCAACAGCAGACGAGAACATTGAAGAAGTGAAGAAAATAGTATTGGCCAATCGTCAAACGTCAAATCGTCTTTCGAAAAGTTGCTGGGGACCTAAACATATCGATTGGCTCCTGCCTTTCGATTTTTACCAATGATTTGGGCATGAGACGGGTCATCACGAAATTCGTACCAAAATTACTCAATTTCGACCAAACACAGCATAGCAGTAACATTGCAAGTTGTTGGTTGGACTCTGTTCGCAACGACTTAAATTTGCTCCAGAGTGGTGGACGAATCATGGGTTTATGGTTATGACGTGGAAACCAAAGCTCAATCATCCCAATGGAAGCTGCCGCAAGAGCCATGACCGAAAAAATCGCGCCAAGTTAGGTCGAGTGTGAAGGTTTTGCTTACAATTTTCTTTAATTGCAGGGACGTGCAGCATCATGAGTTCTTGCCACAGGGTAGAACGGTCAATAAGGAATATTACCTGCAAGTTATGAGCAATTTGCGCAAAGCAATCCGTCAGAAACGCCCGGATTTGCGGAAGAACAAAAATTGGCTTTTGCACCATGATAAGACTCCTGCTCACACATCATTGCTTGGCACAAGTGTATAGTATCTGGTGGGGATTACATTGAAGGGTCAAAATTGTAAATTTTTCACTTTCTTATTTATGTCTGAAACGAGAAATCTGCTAATCCGTATCTACCACAAGGAAGAGAAAGATACCCTTATCTTTCTCGGCTAGTCGCAGGTAACAAACATTGCTGGTACTTTATAAACTTTGTGCATCTTTCTCTCTATTTAAATAGTTTGTAGAGTGTGTCTCTCTTTTATTACTTGTCAATTACACTTTAGTTAAAATTCATGAACTAATCGATAGTACAGTAATAAAAGAGAGACAAACAAAGCTATTTTCTGCGACTAGATAATGGTATCTTTCTCTTCCTTCTGGTAGATACCTATATGGGTTAGATTTATTTTTCCAGTAATAAAAAAGATTTATGATGAGGATATCGTGGGTAGAAAAGGTTAGAAATGAAGAGGTGTTGGAAAGAAGTCAATAGGTTGGTAGGACACCTTCTCAGGCATGAAGGTCTAGTCAGAGACATATTAGAGGCAGAAACAGGAGTTAGGAGGGGTAGAGGTAGACCTAGATTAGATTACTGTTCGCAAATAGTTAAGGATGTGGGATGTTCTAGTTTTAGGAAAATGCGAAGTTTAGCTCAGAATAGGAAAGAGTGGAGGTACGTGTCCAACCAGTCTTAGGACTGACGACCTTATGATGATGATGACGATAAAAAAGATTTAGATAATAATCTTATAGTTAATAATTACTTCAATATATACAACAAATTTAAAA